CACCCTCGTGCTGCTGAAACACCATCAGCACTCTCAGCAGCAAACAGCAAGAGACAAGCACGAAGCCAACACAACATTTTAGTATTGATTTCTCTAAGAAATTTAAATCCCACAGGGCATAAACATCAATTTAATCCGTATGCAACTACAGAATGGCCTCACTCCCAGTGTTCCTTATTTGAGCCAAAACACTGCTACAACTGGAGTAAACACACACTCAGCAGTGCAGGCAAAGGCTGACGGAACAAGAATCTCCACGCTCCCAATAATTCACAGGAGTTTTGGAGAGCACAGTCACAAATGCCAGACAGTCAAGGACAACCACCAGCAGGAAAATCTGTCTCACAGCCAGACACAAAGGCATCCCTGAAGCATCCCAAGGACCAGTGACATCCTGCCTTCCTAAGAAGGAGAGCCACTTCATCCTCCAATCCAATATTGTGTTGTGGAGTAACAACCTCAGGTCTCACCTTTGGGTTTCTGTGCCTCCACATGATAACAGGAACAGTAAAACACAATTGCTGCATGTCGTACTAAGCAATAGTTTGGAACAAGGGAAGTGGTGGAGTCACTATCCCTGGAAGTGCTCAAAAAACATGTAGGCATGGCATTTCATGAGATGTCTTAGTGGGCATGCTGGTGTTAGGTCAAATGTTGGATGTGATGATCTTGGAGTGCTTTTCCAACCTTAAAGAGTCCTTGATTCTGTTTTCTGAGCATCCCTGACTCCCATCAGACTGCCTTCCCTGCAGGAAAAATGCCCCACATTACTGCTACCTCCAACCTGCTGGGAAGAGCATCAGAAGAAAACACACCTGAAGAAAAAGAAAATTCATCACCTTGGGGTTCACCCTCATGTAATCTTAAACTGAGTTCTTCAGAAATGCAAGTCCCTCCTCTAACCCCTGAAATATCAGGCCCAGCATGCTCTGACATTCCTCTTTTTCTTCTTAGCACTTCAAGACTGCTATTTTTTTTCAAGAATGCACCCCATTGAAAAAAACCAGCTCATTCTTACAGCAGTGCAAAGCCCCAGGCATTTCAGTGTCACCCCAGCCAGCACTTAAGCACCAATACAGTCTCTAGAACTCAAGGCACCAAAATCATTTGTGAGTGATGGATTTATGTTAGAAACTATAAATTACACAATAATCACAGACAGGGTTTTATGGACAAAGCCTGCACTTATAAAATGTGGCACCTTGTACCCACCTGCCTCTGCTGAGCACAGCTGGGTGACAGAATCAGATTCCTGAGGGTGCAAAGGTGACAGAACAGCACCTTGGGCAATTGGAGTGTTATGGACTCACTGACAGGCACAAAAACAAGACAGAAAGCCCTTTCCAAAGTTAACAGCTTCAACACAGACCCCACCCCAGATAATCAGTCTTCCTACATGGCGGGATTTATTAATTGTGCTGCAGTCCCACAAAAGATGACTTAAACTCTAGCACACACCTGATCCAACATGGGTTGACTCAGGGCTCAGGTCACCATTGTCATGAAGGTTCCTACACTCTACAGCAGAATATAACTTAAATGTCTATTGACTACATATGTGATCAGCACAGAGCCTTTACCTGTGTGCTATTTTCCTTCAGCATATGTAAGATACATCATGGCATATTAACTTCACCTATCAGTAAAGTGGGGGATGGATTTTGCTCCCAAAATTATTCAGTTTTGTGGGTTTCCACCAGGACAGCCTCACTAGGTCCAAGCAAGAACCATGGCAACATTCTCCAGCTAGTGTCAATTTTAGGATGAACTTTAGGATTGCTTGGTCAGGAACAGAAGCAACTGTGAAGTGATCATCAAGATTATTGACGTATATACTGGCAGATCAGTCTGTACCACTGACAGCTTTATAGCTGCTGTGACCACCAGTGTCACTGAGCTGCAGACACTGTCATTTCTCCACAAAGTTACCATGGTTTTGACTTCAGAGAGCCCCCTAACCATGCAGCAAGCATGGCTCTAAGTCCATACTCTGAACTGCACTTGTGAGCTTGGCTTTCTAAGGGGAATGGCTGCAAGCTATAAAAGGAAGTGAAAAAATAGAAGGTGTTTATGATACCATCAAAATTCAGGAAAATAAAGGCAGAACAGCAAACCCTCACCTTATCTTTGTGAATCTCTGAATGGGAGGATGTAAACAACAGGGACAGACCAAACTTCACTTGTTTGTTTCTAGATTCAACACTCAGTCCACCCCTTAAGCACATAAGCAAAACAGGATACAGGGTGTTACTGAATGATTTCCTCTGAAACCTGATTGAGAAAGATTAGAGCAATTAGAACGGAGTGACACACACTTTGAAAGCCCTTAAATCACAATTAATATAAGGTCTAACCTTTCTCCCAAGGATCATCTGGTGACTGTGAGCCATTTTCAGAACCAGGCTGACACGTCCCAGCCTCAGAGACAAAATTCATGAGACAGAATCCCCTGCCCTCTACTGGCACCAAAGCCACACTGAAATCTGAGCTCGTGTCACAGGCAGCACAAACAGCACCCGAGGAGCTGCTCTAAGGGGTATTTTAAACTATTATTTGTCATTTATATCAGATTTATAACGTGCTGGACACATGCAGCTGGGAATAAAAGCTCACGTATAAAAAGCTCTTTCAGCATCATTGCACTCCTTCGCACAGCACCAGCTAGACTGAGGATTCAAAATACTGTTCCTTGCAAGATAATATATTCATTAACTGGAAGCTAATTCTGAGGGATTATCTAATGTTTGTCATGTTCACAGTGCATAACCAAGAACTCTATATGGCAGTTTTTATTTGTTTGTTTTTACAGAATTCTCTCTCACGTACACTGCTGCTTTTCCGATTACAGCCATCCAAACTGCATTTGGCCCAAGAACAGAGAAGCAGGATCAGAACTGCCAAAATCATTTCCCAGCACCTTGGTGCCAGAGCTAGGGAAATTCTTAGCCAGGTTTCTGACTCATTTGCACCACACAAACCTCAGGGCACCCCAGCAAGGCATTCGCTGTCGCTGACCATGCCACATCCATTTCTGTCACACATTGATTTAATAGGTGTCATCACAGAACCTTCCAGAGCTTGTGAGCACTTCTTACTGTATTCTCACATCAGTGCAAACAACAGCAACAACAACAAAAAAAAGCCAAGATTTACCCTGCTGTGATTATATTTCTGAATGTAAATCAGCTTGATTCCTGGAAATATCAAAGTAAATCCCCCATGTAGGCAAGGCCTAAAAGGAATTGAATAAACACAAGGGTCCCGACTGCATATTTAATCCAAAAAATAAATAAGCTTTTAAATCACATTAAAAGAAAAGGAAAAAAAAAAGGCAGCCTGAAAAACAGCAGCTATTAAACAAGAGAAAGTCTGGCACTGCTGGAGTAATTCCCACAATGCTCATCCTTACCCTGAAACACATTGAGAACACACCCTGTTTCCAGAGCTGTCACACAACAAATGCAGATGTGAGCCTGCCATCACTGCACAAACAACAGAGTATGACATTTAAATAATACCACTAAGGAGAAGTGGGAGATGCACAGAGCCTACACTATGTACAGCAGCTCTTTTTTAAAGCAACTCATCTGTTAAGTTACCAAATAGCTAAAAGGCCCTGGGGATGCAACAAAACAAAAGTATCTAACATTCCAAAGAATCCATAGGAATATAATCCCATCACACCTGTCTCCTTCCCACTGCAGGCATCTACAGCATTTTAAAAAATACCAATGAAGAATTCTCAAAGCTTATTAAGCCACATCCTAAAACTATTTGGATTTTTGGCTGTCCTACTCAGCCTAAATGTATTTACAGATAATTTATCCCCATTTGTTCCTGTGTCAGGGTTGTCTGATATCTCAAATAGTTCTTCTCACACTCTGGTGCTTGTCTAACCCCTGACATTTACAGACTACAAAAGTATCCTCAGCCATGAGCTTTCTGGGCTATATAAACCAAGATTTTGGTGCAGCAGAATCTAAGAATGAAGGATAAACAGGTAGTTTAAACACAGCCTATTTGAAACTCTGCCTGTCTCCATAGATAATCCCCACAAATAAATACAGTTTCAACTATATAAGAAAATATATAACACAAAAACCTTTACAGTGTAAATTTATGAGGTGGTGCTGTCAAGCCTAGTGATTTGTTCCAGTATCTCTGCATTTTCTCAACTTTCAGCTCCTGGAGTTCTCTTAAAAATAAACAATAAAAAAATTCTGTCCTTCATGATTATTGATAAAAGCCTGGGGGTAGGGATGACTTGTGAAGGAGATCAGGATGTAAATAAAAACACTATGAGTTTTAAAAATAAAATATTTATTAAAAATCCTCCAGATGAGTTAATGCAGCATGTTTAAGATACCACTGGCTGATAAACAGTCAGAAAACATCAATAAAAATCTTACAGGCTTGCCTCTATTATTTTTGTAGAATCGTACACCAAGTAATGACCTGAACCCACTTCTACAGGTAAAATGCTGGCTGACTTTGCTGTTCCAATGTGTTAAAAACTATTCATACCAAAAATTGTAGGAAGCTGGAGCTCTGGCTTTCGAAATCACAAGGCAGGGAAAGGGCTTCTGCCTTATTAACAGAAAACTGAGATAAAGAGCTGTGTGACCAGCTCATGGCAGATCCAAGAACTGAGCATAGATTTCAGATTTTCTGAGTTACAGTCTTGTGCTTCAGGCAGAAGGCTGGTTTTCTTTTCACTTAAACATCTATCAAAGGCCAAACTCTTATTTAAAAATGGAAAATGCAGCTCAGAAACAATGAAGAAGAACACTTGAAAAAGAAGTCTTCTTAAAGCTAAACCTCCTTGGTCCTTCTAATGCTACCATCTGCAAAAACTTGCACCCAACACACCTTCAATAATTTTTCTGAAAGACCAAACTCAGAGTTCACACCAGTTTCTGTATCCATGAGGCAGGACAGGGATGACAGCACTGGCATTGCTGCCTTTGGCCCCCAGTGCCATTAGTTCTCATCATACTCACAGACTTTATATCCCAGCTTCTCAGCATGAATCCTCTTGGCCATGAACTGCCCTTCAATCAGCGCTCGTATTTCTACTTCCTTTGGAAACCTTGGAACCTGTACCAAAGAGGGGATGAATTACCAACTCCTTACCCAGCGCTCACTGCCAAGCTGCAGAGTGGTTAAAAACACAGGACAGGTTTATAGTTGATTCTCTTTGCCTTCACCCTGAAGTCTGCTCTCATCTAGGCTCAGCTCTCCATTTATACACAAGATGGACCTAAAACCTCATGACAGAGAACACAACCCATATCCTCAATGCTGTTGGCAAATACACCAAACTTGAAGTTGATGCACAATGGGAAGAAGTTAAGGGCAAGTTGTAAACTCTTCCCTAAGCATTTCCCATCACCAAGAGCTGATAGGAATAATTATATCTCAAAAATATAAATGTAAAGCAGTTATAGAATGTAAAATTACATAAAATTCAGATCAATTAAGCAATGTCACAGAAGCCTAAATCTATTTCTGTCTGCACAACAGTGAAACCATGTAATCTTTTCATTAATTTATTTTGTTTCCATCTATAACATTTTTCTGTCCTTTCATCAATGAGGAAACAGAAGCAGGAGAATATTGAACTGCAAACAAATAGAGGGAATCCTTCACATGAAGTTGAGTTTCTCCATGCACTGCACTAAGTGCCTACATTTGTGTAACAGCCAGAAGTGATTAAGCATTCATTTAACAGCCAACACTTTAGAGAGTAGAGCTGCACTGCAAACACCAGATAGCATCAATCTCTGTTCACCTACGTGAGGTCTGATCGACTGGGAGTCATGATTGATCAAAGACACCTCCTGAGTTTCAGTACCACCCAGAAAGCCAGGCATTTAAACAACAGCCATTCCTCAAAAAAAACCCCAAAAATACAATATACAAAGAACTTTCCATAACTTCTATTTTATTCCACTTGGACTTGAGCCTGTGCTTACTTAAATACCATTCTGTGGCTTGTAGGTTACTCCAAGTCATGCAGGACAGAAAAATGAGGTCTGTAAGTTCACACATATATAGACAAAATATTACAGCCCAAAGTTTCAACACACCCTTATCTATGAGTTTAAAATTTAAAAAACAAGCCCTAAGTCATGTATATGTACTAAGTTCTCAGTAAGCTTAAAGTTAATCCTGTCTCAAAGACAGTGTTAATTTCAGTAAATCCACATTTTCCAGTAAAGAAAGTATATAATGAAAAAAATACCATATAAGTTCTAGTTTAGACACTGCTCTGTAGATGCTCTCAAGCTACAGACCAAATACCTCCTTATGAAAATCGTTCCAGGGACTTGCATCAACAAATGAAACTGGACAGCAAATATTTCAGACAGAAAGAAAAAAATATATAATGGCAAAAACTTGAAACCTTGACAGCATTCCTTCAAAGTTTGAGACATTAACCACATTATTACTACCTTTTGGTTGTCTCTGTTGAATCTGTGAACCCCAACTGCTTCAGGAGTAATTTCCATCACATCAAAGTAGAAACCTGCATCAACAAACATTAAAGTTGTCATGTTTTCTCTCAGGCCCAAAGCTAGAATCTCATTTCTGCACACAGCTAAAACAATAATAGATGTTCATCATGTATTTGGACATGTGAGTCACCACATAGACTGTTTCTTTACTAATTTCAGTCCACACATCAACTTCTAGATGTTCTGAGCCATGGGGTGAGATTCTTGGGGCTCTCCTGTGCAGAGCCAGGAGCTGGACTTTAATGATCCCTGCCAACTCAGGATATTCTATAATTCTGTGTTTCTCTCAGTTTCCAAAGTGTGGATATTAAACATGCCAAAAAATGTAATAAACACCAAGCCTATAAGAAAGGATACATCTACCACAAGGCACACATTTGCAAGTAACACAGCTAATACACAACTCACACTAGAAATATTTGAGTAGGTCAGATGCAAGGGTGAAAGGAGGAAAAAACCACACACAGAAAAAAAATGAGAAGTTGGTAAGAAGAGTACAGGAATATTGGAACATCTCATACCCTGGATTAGATTTCATGAGCTTATTAGAGAACATCAGATATTTTAAGTCACGAAGCAGAGCTGGTCTGTGAATAGTTTTGATGAGATCTGAGGAAATGCTGTAATGCTTTGTAGACAGCTAGACAAAGATTTCTTTGGGTTGGTCAGAAAAGATATTCAAGAAAGGAGACCAGAAAAAAAAATGAGGACAGAAAAACTGAACAGAATAGCTAAGAAACCAAGGAGTTTCTGAGGTTCTAACCTTGGAACAAAACTGTGCTGCCCTAGCAGACCTGGCAAAATAAAACCCAAAATAATTCTGTGCTTTAGCACACATAACCTTTCTGGTTAAACATTCTGCAAAGTTGCCAGCAAGTAACTCTGTGTGCCCCAGATCTGCAGGGGCAGCACATCCCAGCATCCCAGTCCTGACTCCAAACCCCTCCCCACACAACAGGGAGCACAGGAAACAAGGAATAAAAGGAGAGGGGTATTTAAACAGCTATGCCTTTGCTTTGCTCCCCCCAGGCACTTAAATTATGGAGATTATTCCATTTGTTACAGATATACCCAGAGGTTATTCTAGCACACAGATTATTGAGGATGCCTTTCATGAAACACCCATTTTATAGGGGAGTGAGATATTCAAGGGAATATACTATAACGCAAGCTTTAAAACTTTAAGGCACTGTCCTGGTTCCATAACAATATTTTCATCAGCTTCAAATTTTTTTAATATTGTCTAAACTGGCTGACTTTTGGGTTTTAGAATAATTTCTTCCCATTTTCTAAAACACTAGAATTGATTTGTCTTCTAGTGAAAAGAGATTCCTGGTCATTTTAATACCCCACAGAGACTGGACTTGACAGACAACATAACAGAGCTTCTAAAAATGAAAAATCTAATCTCGAAGTGTCAAGAGGCTCTATCTTAAATTCACTTTGCTAAGGAGTGAGCCCTTCTATAGCTTAAATATCTACATTTAAAAACTTTGCTGCCTGTAATTTTTACATTAATTTTACCTATATCAATTCACACCTGAGATGATGGTGATGATTTCATACCCTGCTCTGCAATGGGTCCATTTTAATCTTGATTAGACATGTGCTCACTTTTCAACAGCTTATTTCAGAGCTATATATTAGACTTGTAAAATGTTAAACTGTGGGAGAGAAAATAATGAAAAACTTCAAATCAATGAGTTTGATAGTATTTTTAAAATATTTCCATCATCAGAAATTTGTTATATTTCACTTACTAACCATAACATGGGGGAAAAAAACAGGGATTAAATGATTCTGTGACACACACTAGGGAAAATGCAGGATATCCAGACATCCCTTGACATCATTGCTTTGTACACATGCATGAACAAGATTCTAGAGTAATGACTGAGAAAGAAATAATATGGAGGTACTTAATTCACTTGGTTTGAGTCTTCAGAAAAAGAAATAAACTTTAATGAAAATCTCCTTCAGAAATTACTAGTTTTAAACACGTAATTTTTAAAAAGAAAATAAGATGTTACTAACACCCTTCCAACAACCACAGGAGATCCATAAATATAATTTTGTTAGTCAGTGAACATTGAAGGAAAACACTGTGATGACACTTGGGTTGTCAACAGAGCATTTCCAAGGACACATTAGGAATTTCTCTTGCTCTAGTTAACTTCACTCCTGACCTATATGATGACCCAAGTAAAAAGGAGGTACAGCACCTACTGCAGTATGAGTCCCAGCAAACCCTCAAAGTCCCAGCCCTGCCAAGGCTCATACCCAAGTTTCCACTGTTTCCAGCATCAGTTGATGATAAGGCTTTGGAGAATTCATCCCAGGAGCCTGAAGCACACTCATCCCTGATCCTCTCTCTCATCAGAGAGCCATTCTTAAAACTGAAACACACAAACACACCACATGCATTTTCCAAAATGTTTACCTCTAGATTTAAAGCATTTTGTTCCATTACTCGACATTGTTGTTCAGATTATCAGCTGAATTGAAGCTGTGCAAGTTAAAAGATGTAAACACTTCATTATGGAAAGAGATAGAGAAGGAAGAGCAAGATAAGAGAAAGATTTTACAGGAGGTGCTGGGGAGCAGAGAGCAGAGATGGGGGTGTGCATTTCTCCAGTGAGTCAGGTTAGATCCAAGGCAGGCCATGCCAAACCCAGGCCAGCTCTGCACAGCTGAGACATCTCCTCAGAGAGGTGTCCTGCCACCCCTCACGCTGAGATGGCTCTGCCAGGAGCAGCAGGAGTGTCCCCACGTTGCATTTATGGTTTCAGGAATGTGGTACCTGTGTGGAACCAGCTTGGGTCCAGCAAGAATTATGATGATGTCTAGCTCTGTGCCAGGATCTGGCAAAGGAAACCACCACAGCCAGTTAGCAAACTATGCAGTAAAGTGTGCATCTCTTCATTTTTTATGGTCTTTGCACAGTTCATGCTGTCACCTTCTTTGTGAATATCACACTCCTGGCAAAATACCGGACTCGTATCCAGGGGGAAGCAGTTTGAACCCTCTCCAGCACAGAGTTATCAGAGCAGCTCAGCAGAAGAGGCACAGAAATATCAAAAATGACGGCAAGGAAATCATTGAACTTGCTCTGTAGCATCAGCTGAAGCTATTTGAGTTTTCTATACAAATACCCTGTCTGGTAGCTCAGGCATTCATTCTCTACTCAGAGTCCCCTATTAACTCTAATAGTCTAGAAATAAAGAGGCCTTGGTGCCAAAGGGGCAGGGTCAGCTCAGAAACGACTACACAGAAGGAGCAGGAAGGATTAACTCAGCACTGCCAAGGCCACCACCAAACTGCATGTTAAGCTGCAGTGAAAGAACAGAAGTGTAACATTTATTCAAAAAAATACCTCAGTATCTGATTTCCTATTATGAACAGGTTGTTTGTACAGCTCTTTTACACAGCAAAAGTAAAGAAAACATTGGGTAGAAGAAAAATTCAAATGTAAATTAAAAACAAAGCAAACAAACAAAAAAAATCCCACATAAAACAAAACATAACAAACAAAACCTGCTGGGAAATTACAAAACAAAACTCAGTAACTTGCAATTGACATCTTGGTTTTGAACTCAGCCTCATGAACGCTCATCTACTACTGTGCAGGTGGGATTCAACACTACAGCTCCAGGGCAGACTTGAGCTTTGCTGAAGTTCTGAGTTTCAAGCAACTACAATCCAGGGCATTTAGGCACAAAATTTATCTGCATATTACTTGCAAATACTTGACCTAGATTGGAAATTTTAATCCAGAACACAGTGATTCAGTGAGGGCGAACACAGCTCCAGTCCAACCTCCTTGGCTGACAAAGGGCCAAACAACACCCAGATCACAGCAGCCAAAAGCTACCATGAGGATCATTTTCTCCACTGGGCTTCTTGAGATCTCAATATTTTCCTGAAGCACAGCCCTAATGCATCCCATCACTGATTAAGCTCCTCTCTGGAAAGGGAATCTTCACCTTCTCCATTATGACCCCTCTGGACCACCAGAGGAGCACAGAAGTTCCACAGTCAGGTCAGGCTGCCCACATTTCACATCCCATCTCAGCAGATTTGTTATTCCTGCACATTAAATGCATTACCTGAGGTACACAGAGACCTGGCTCTATCCATACACTGAAATAATTTCAGCTTTTTATTGCCATGAGAATTTATCCTCCACAACTCTGCAGTTTCAGTTCCTCAGATTAAACAATAGGAATGCTATAAGGTTGATGGAAATGTTTCAGCAGTAGATTGCCATATACCGTAGAGAATGCTGAATGTTCTATTCATTATCATCTCACAAAAGAAATAAAAAGCACTAACACAGAGAAAGAAATATATGTTATTGATCCCAGATGTAAAAAAAAAAATTATATTACCATAAAAGGGCCATATATGTTTGAGAATCAACAGGATTGCAGAGAATATGACCTTCTAAGGCAGGAGTTGGCTCTTGGATCCACAGGAACAATGTGTCACTTGTGCCAAGGCTAATCTGCAGGGGAAAAAAAATAATTGAAGCCTTATCACAATGTGCATGGAAAGCAATACAGAAATTAAATTAAAACCATTTGTTATTGCCACTAATTGTTTTTAAATTACACATTAAGTCAATTGGATTCGTGCTGAAGCTAGCTCTGACTTAGGCTGTCATGGCAGTGAAATACATACTAGATGGAGACTTGGGTTTTAATGTCTGCAGTGTTAGTTAAAAATAGTCACAAGAGTTTACTTAAAATCTTTCAGGCAGCTTACAGATTGATAGAAATAGAACAAGCATGTATCCAATAAGCAGCAAATCAACACTAGCAGGTATATTTAACTGGCAACCTGCAGCTATTTACATTTCAGGTATTTCAAACATCCAAGGACAGTTTTCAGGAGAGTGTTTTGACTTACTGCAATGTCTCCTTCTTGAAGTCTCATCCCTGCCAGTGATGCTGAAAGCAAAAAGAATACCAGGTATAAAGGTAGTTCTTTGACTTAATTACAGCCTGTTACCTGAGACATCATAGCACATTACAAACACCATCTCAAAGTACAATATAAATAGCAAATATGCTTCCAGTGGCCTTGAGCTATCCACCATAAAATATGGGCAAAATTTTTGGTGAGGGTCTGATTTTTATTTTGATAAAATCAAAATGCTCAAGACAAGAGTACAGAACAGCATGATTTTTCTGATGGTTTATGTATTCAGGTTTTATATGCAGTGGACCCTTGATTAACAACACACTTTAAAGGAGGAACATTCCCACTTTCATCAGATTAATCACATATTCATTGGACTATGTTGAATTTGGGGGGTCTAGAAGAAAAATTGGACTTTTGGGAAATGCAGAGTTTACCCAACTCCCAGAAAAAGAATGTAAAATATATCATAATGAACTTCTATCATGATTCAAACCTGCATAAGGTACTGTAATATGGGAAGTATTTTACTTTCACAGTCTGGAGAAACAGAAACATTTGCTTTACACTGAAACAGCCTCCAGGACTCAAACAACTGACCCTGAATTAACACCTTCCCTTGTACTGAGATCTATCAGTCTGAGAAAAGGACATCTCTAATTCTTAGAGAAAGCCAACAAGGTCCATCTCCATCTTTTTGCTTGAAAAGATACAAGATACATTTTCAAATTCATATTCTCCAAGCTAAAATGTTAACAGTTGATAGTAGGGATGGTTTCTCATAACAAAACCTGAAGTTATCAAAAGGCAAATGAATTCACTTCTGATTACTTGGCAAAAGACAATTAATTTGTCATACACAGCCTGAGACATCTCTATCTCAAAAGAATCAGTGATGGAAGGGTGTTAGAAAAAGGAATTAATACAGATAAAAACAATATTCTGTCATTTTATAGGAGAACCAGTAAGATAGATTTAGAATTTCAGCACATACATAATCATATCCACTGGATCTCGCACAGTTAATCATCTCACCTGGATTGTCTCCTGTAAATGCTACTATTTTACAGTCTGGGCTAAACCCATAACGTTGACTATAATATGGAGAAATAGGCCCCTAAGGAAAGAAAGAAAGAGAAGAAAAAAAAGCTCAAAAAAATGGAATGCAATCTTACAATGTATGACAATGTATTGTAACACAGAACTGAAAAACCCTAGAGCAGCTACAAGAATAATTTCTGAACATTTAAGGTATAAATGAATATTTCAAAAATTTTTAATGCACTTTTTTCATTGTAGTTGTTGAGAACCTTGCAGGAATACCCTCAGATTAGATTTGAAAGTAGGCTAGTAAATAGCAGCATTTTAGCTTTGGGTCTTTCTTCAGTTATTCACATCAAGTACCATAAACACATCTATCTATTTTGCACATATACATGAATATTAATAGCTAGAAATTAGAAATTCAATGCAAACATAAGAGGAAACACAACATTAATATACATCACAGCATCAAATGCTGGAATATGACCCCTATTATTTTAGAGGTCAAGAACTGTATACTTTTAAGCCACATTTGATAGCCATTGAGAAAAAACAGAAGAAAACTACCCATAAAAAAAACACAAGGAGGTCTATAAGGATTTTTTTAATATGTTGCTCTCCATCACGGATCAGCAGTGAGTTCAGAGGGCTCAGGTGATGGGTATCTCCACTGCCTCACATGTGCACAGCTAAAGAATAGCTGCTTTTGTGCTGGGTAGTAAGACTAAACTCATTTACTCAGGAGATGCGAGGCTTGATTTGATTTCACGATTATGCTACGCGAACTCAGGAGCTTTAAATATCCCAAATTATTCACAAAGATTACCTCATTAACTCTACAAACAGCTTAAAACAAGATCTCTGTAGAGAAATGCAAATGTTGGGTTCTGTTTCTGCAGCAATAAACTCCCATGCACAGCTCTGCAGTGACCAGGTGCTCTGGGGTGTGGGAGAGGACCCCAAAAATTCTCATCACTGGAGCATCTACCAAAAAGCTTCTCACACAGCCCAGGGCATGCAGGAATCCAAGGAGACCAAAGCTATGATGCATCCCAGTTCCCAAATATTTGATTTACACCTTCACAACACAGCTGGAAATATTAAAGCAGCAGCATTGCACACACAAATGCACTCCAAGTGCCATTAGCAGAACTCCCAGCAAAGCTCCTCTTGTTGCTTACAGCTCTTCTGGCCAGGGACATACCAGGACTGAGTGGGATGGGACAGGGCATCCCAGTCTCTCCTCTAATCCAGGGGCACAAGCATCAAGGCAGGGCTTTGACCATGCCTTTTCCCAAATCTGCAGCAAGTTCATACCAGAACCTACAAGACAGATCAAAAGAGGAAGTGCACAGGATTAAGCAAAAGACCAGAAAATTCCAACAACAGAAAGCTTACAGACGTATGTCGCAGACAACTTCTATGAAAAATCCTTTCCTTAGGATTTTTTCTCCTGAGAAGCTGAGAGGACTCAGGAACAAAATGTAAACAATGGTTATCTGCTGCTGTGGAATGCAACAGGTGCATCTGTGATTGGTTTCATAGAGTTGTTTCTAATTAATGGCCAATCACAGTCAGCTGGCTTGGACTCTCTCTCTGTCCAAGACAGAAGGTTTAGTTATCATTCTTAGCCAGCCTTCTGATGAAACCTTTTCTTCTATTCTTTTAGTATAGTTTTAATGTAATATATATCATAAAATAATAAATAAAGCCTTCTGAACATGGACTCAGATCCTCATCTCTTCCCTCATCCAAGAACCCCTGTGAACACCGTCACAGATGTATGTTTCCATTTAAAGAGAATGGTTTCAGCCCTTCTAAGAATAAAGGGTACTGATAATTTAGTCTCTGGAGGGCTTTCACCTGTAAAAGTAGCAGAAAATGCTTCTCTGATGTACAAGGCACTAGGCAATTCAGTCATTCACAAATTATGATTAAAGACAGGAATATCAATGCCTCCCCAAATCTTCCACCTTAGACAAGGACTTCATACAAGTAACTAAAACTGATGGAGCAATGTCCCTTGGAGATGTGTTGTGCTCAGCAGAGACCTAAAAGTGAAGAAATTCCCCCCTCAGTGGGATGGTTTTACACAAATCCTGCCTTTGAGCAGAGTATCCTATATGCATCTAAATCCACACTGACTAATCCTCCTCCATCTCAACATTTCCCTTTCCAATTTCTCAAATAAAGCCTCTAATTTTGAGGATAATTTGGTATCCAGCTTTGAATACCAAAGCCATGATTTTCAGGCATGCTGAGTAGCCCAATGAAATCTGCAACACCTGCAAGTGTGCAAACCTCTTAAGGCCAGATTCTGTGAAATTATTTACAGGATGCAAAAAAAAAATCTAAATAACTGATTTGGTCACCTGTTTTCTCACCAGAACTATCATTAGATCTGGGAAAGGCCTTTACAGTTTTGGTTTGGCTTCTCATTGCTCTTTTCTCACTGTTTTATTGCTGGTTTAAAAGTTAATTGAAGTTGGTTAGTGGCCAAATCCATATAACATACTGAGCACTCCACACCCCTGGCTTATGATTCTAAGATGCCTTTAACTGAACATCTCATTAGACATGAAAATGTGTATTTCTGGTTAGTGCTGCTCAGGGATAGAGTAGTCTTATTCTAGATTAATACCAATCCAATCAATACTCTTATTCTAGATTAATACCAATTAATACCAATCATTCTAAAGACTGCTTAGCCCTCCATTTATTTATCTCAGAAATGCAGCCACATCCTCAGTTGAGCACAGCGGAAAGCCTGATATTTCCTTCTGTTCAATACATTTTTAAGCTTTTCAAATCATAAAGATGGTGAAGCTGATGCCACATGCAGTGCCTGTGGAACAAGACTTTGCTTGCAGTGCTGGGATGCAGAGGAAGAAAAGGATTCAAGCCCCATCTCAGGCAGCACATCACAAGGCTCCAGCAGTGCTTCTGCTCTGAGAAAGAGCCTTCAACACACTCCACACACACTCTGCTGCTGCTTACACAAGCACAGGTAAGCCCACCCTATCAACTCCCAGCACACTTTTTCATACAGACTTAAAAATGGGTTTAACATCATTTAAAGACAAACTTTATATTTATCAGTACAATCCTAAGCACCCCCAGTGTTGTCTGGACCTAGTGCTCCACACGGTGTTGTAAACAGAAAGTGCTGCACACTTGAGCTGAGACACTGGAATAACCCAAGCCAAACAGCAGCATATTTGGGTTATACTTAATGACATAAAAATAGAATTCATTTTATCCAAATCAATCAATTCAATTTATTATTGAAAACATTTGGCCTATGTTGAAACAGCAGGAATTTGACAGAGCACAAAGTGCAACAACCGTCCCAAAGGGCAAAGGATCCCTTTTCTGCCATCAAAATCACACACTTCGAAAAGATGGCAAGATTTAATCCAGCATATCTGATGTCTCTATGACAGACCACTCTTAAATCCATCCATCCCCTCCTTCCCAGGGTAAACTGAGTCCTGACAAGGTAAACTGAGCCCAGAGTCACCACCTGCACTTTTCAGAGGCAGAGGGTGTGAGCAGCCACATGTTCCATGCTCTCAGGCATAACAGGACTTTCCACAAGGAAATATACAAATTTATAAGTTTTCCTGGAAGAGTCCATGATTTAAAAGGCCAAAAACCTCCTCACTAAACTAAAGCAGTGAGGAACAGAATCTTTAAATAAATAGGGTATTTCTACAGAAAGATTAGCTCTTGTTTTGTGCAGGTTTTGTTTGGTTTTTTTAGTCCTTCTTTGTCCACAGCCCACAAACCTGGAGAAACATTTCACCAGAATCCTCCAATGCAATTTTACAAGACATCAGAGTAGCCTTCAATTTTTCCTGCATAAACCAGAAAAGCCTCTAATCTTTATAACTGAATGTTATACAGAAACAACCATTCAGTTTATTGACTGGTAGATGCAGCGGCACAAAGACTTTCATGTGCCCTGAGAAGAGAGAGGTGAGAGAATTTACCCCAAACTCAGAAATTTATTTTTAAAATGTGAAACAACTGTTTTAGAAGAACTATTCATCTGTTGGGCTGGATTTATCCCATCCAGCTGTAGGCATGGGAGTCTCTGTGGAAAATAAAAAGAGCTGCATGCTCCTCTGATTATACAAGGAGTGATTCACAGTGAGTTCCTACCTCTAGCACCTCTGCTCTTGTTAAACATCACAAAGTTTAACATACAAAATCAGTAATAATTTAAGAAGGAAAGGGGAGAAAACAAGCAAAAACCAAAGGCAGCCCTGACCCATCACCCCATCAGCAGTGAAGGCCAACAGCCAAGGCCATGGCACAGTAAGAGCTGAGGGAAGGATCAAAACATGGAATAATAAATTTCCATATTTCACTGCAAACATCACTGACTTCTAGCACAGAACCACCAGGAGCACAAGCAGGACTTGTTAATATTTACTACAAATACAGAAGTGCTTGAGCACTTGGGGGGAAAGGGGAGAACACAAACACTTCCATTACAGTGACCCAGCCATGCAGACTAACTGGTTTTATAAATCCACAAAGTGAAGATCAATATTTGCATACATTTATAAGCAGTTAAGTGCATCTGTTTCTGCATTACAGCCCTCTGGGTTGCCTTTTCAGAGAGCTAAAGCCATGACAAGTGTAACTGCTGACACCACAAGCTACAGGAGGAGGAAATTCAGCCCAACACACCCCTTTGGAAAAGCTTCAGTCCAACACGTCCTTTTTTGGTAGAACAACAAAACACAAATATGCTAAGCTACAATTTGCCTAAAGCTCTTAGAAAAGCATTTCAAAAGATAAAGTTTCTCTAGGTCAAGAGCTGAATTGCTGTTCCTGAAGGTGTCTTCTAAAAGAAGCAATGCTCCAAGTGTTCAACTTTTAGGTCCCAGATGTATCTTACTTTTAACATCTGCACAATAGAAATAAAAATCATTCATTCCACTAGAAGGTAATTTCATTTTTTTTAAATCAATCACTCAGGTTGCTTAACCATTCTCAAGTGATTTGAACCTTAAAAGATTGGACCTTTAAGAAGAGAACGAAAAAACTCTGAAACTGAATAGCACATTTCCCACAATAACCTGCCAATTTGGAGATAAGTTATTGTGTAGAGCTAAACAATTTGACAGGGTCTTTTAAAGATGATATGACCTGAAGTTAAACCTACAGAAATGAAGAATAGGTCTATTATCTGAATATTATTTTGAGAGATACATTTTAAACTACAATACACAGGTGCTAAGTAAAAGATCAAGTGAATTGCAAGAAATTGTAAGTGACAAGAAAACAACTTTTTCTGCTGCATCCAAATAACTACTGCATCCATTATATTTTATTACTGGAATTAGAACTCTCTCTCATTATATTAACAGAAGAAAGGAATGAATGAGGAAAAATACAGATTACAATGCCAAAAAATCTTTTGTAACATCCTGCTTAGTTCTCTTATCTTTTTTCACATAAAGATTTAATAATCTTACATGCTCTGAACAGCACAAAACATTTCTTCAGGTTCTGTAAATACCCACAGGTGTAACAGAACATGCTCTCCTGCAGATGTTTGAAAAATGTGACTCATTTTCTAAGGAAATGTTCCAATTAAGGAAATTTAAATTTTCTTTACTTTAAAATATTTTGTTTTGCAACAATTTTTCATGTTCTGAAATTGGAGAAGCATGGCTTTCCTCCACTTGCTTCCAAGCAGAAAAGGTAAAGTAACATTACCAAAAAATAAAAAAACCAAACCAAAACAGGAGATATTTTTAATGTTTATAATTTTAAACATTCAAATCAAAATTAACACTGCACTCTCATTGAAAAATATAAAACCAATATGTTTCTTTATCAGAAAAAGCAGCTAAAGCTATCACTATCTCTCTTTGAAATCCAGTAGGTGGCTGAGCAGCCCAAGTGCTCAGTATTTGGACCTGTTGAGGAGAAAAGTGAAAATCTCCAAGGAGTTATTGTTGCCAATAATACACAAAAAATAAAATTCAGCTGTGGAATACTTGACTAAAAGGACAGGACCAGAAAACAGACATCATAATCTCACAAGTGGTGTGAAACAAGCATGGATTGCCTTGCCATTTCTGAGGTCTCAAGTATAACTGGAAGCTCTGGTAGCAAGTAAGTTGTCCATTAGCTAAAATTGAGGTGTCTTGTCTTTTCCTGCAAGATTTGATGGAATAACAAAGGAGGAAAAATGACTTGGTCTTAACACAGGGGTGTCAACCATGTCTCAATAAGGCAAAAAATCCATGGAGACCCTTGTTATCCAACCTTTCAGCTCTGAAATATATCTTCTTAGTTTCAGAGCAGAAATCAGAAATTTTTTTAGAAATAACAGCAGAGCTCCCAGGAAAATGCTTTCCTTTGTAATTGCTATTTTAAATGGCCATTTAAAAGCTGGACAACCAAGATAACACACAACAGAAAAGAGAGATAGACTTGTCACTTATTTGTCTTTGCTATGATGAATGGAGAGATACAGAAGATTTTTTTTAACTGAATTTAGTGCATTTTGCTTCATTTATGGGGTTTTTTCCCTGGTTCATTTTGAAAATATACTTCTGTTGTAGATCCAAACTCCAGTTAAGTGGGGAAGAAATCATCACAATATACATCATATTCATCCTGTGCATCTCTGAGCTAAACCAGCAAAACTAAAGAACAAATATCAGAACTCTGAAGTTTTGTTTAAGATTCCACAGCTTTCTGATGTCTCTAGAAAATCTTACAACTCCTTTATACATCACAAAATAATGAAAAAAGCTATAATTACATTTAAGAATCTTTTCTGTGGATCCATTAGATAGAAGTGGGAATCAGTATGATGGGGAGAGATGAGCATAGCAAACATCAAACTGAAAGAAGTAACTTGGCTTAAAATCTAATATACTTGTCATTAAAATTTAAAGATTGAAAACAAATACCAGACACCTTGTCCCCCAACTATGTAATGTGGAGATAGGAAGGAAAATTTCCTTATTAAACTGTTACTATGAAAAAAGCCCACACTTACCATCACTGTAATCAATGGGTGCATAAGTTCCTAGGAAAAGAGAAGCTGCAAAGCTACTGACCAAAGAGATTCTCTGCAAAAAAAACCAAGAACAGTGAGAAGTAGTGAGTCATATCAGTAATCACTTCAAATAAAGCAGAAGGCAAATTAAATAATTTGAAGCAGCAAATGTTAATGAATGTTTAAAGTTAGGCCCAGAAAGCACACAAAAATACACCTAGAAGGATTATTCAGTTCTGACCATCACAGGAATAGAGCACATAGCAATCTACAAGTAACCCCATGATAAAAGCTGTTAATAGCTCTGCCTTCTGAAACATGCAAAACACACCTGGTATGTTATCATACTGTGTTAGCATGAATCCACCACTTCAGTCTATTACAGAACCTCATTTTCTAAGAAAAACAGTTTCTAAGGAAAAAAACACACACACCCACCAAAAAAAAAAGAAACCAAAAAAAAACCACCACAAAGCCACCTGCATGTCGATGACAGGGGAAATGCTCAGAACCCTGCTCTGCCCCACCCACAGCACAGGTCTGGAACCTTTTAGAAGCTCTTGGAGCACCTTTAGCATCTCTTTGTGACCCTTTGCCTTCCTTCCAGCTGAGCCCCTGGACCTCCCTGGAGTTACTCTACAATAAACTATAATAAACAGCTTTGAACTGAGTTCCTGCCTGCAGCTCTGCCTCAGGGCATGCTCCAGCTGCATGACATCCAGCTGTAGGGCTGCCAAAAAATGCCCCCTAGGACACAGATCCACCGTGAACCTTCCTCCTCTTCACATCTGCAGTGTGAGCTACCAGGTTAACCAGCCACCACCAGGCTTTCGGCATGATCAGGCACTGCCTGATGCCAAGGAGCTGGCACAAAAGCAGACAAATCCCTCATTCTGTGCTGTGACTCACTCAGAAGAAATATGCTTGTCACCCAATAACTAAACAGAATCAAACCTCCACAGGTGGAGCGAGCCAGAAGTGACAGGTTTTTATTAATGATCACAAAAGCACTGGCTACAGGCTGCCCTTGAATGCTGTGAAGCAGCGATCTAAGAGGTGGTTGTAATGGCCAGGAAATTTAATGATGCACTTGCTCTCGGTGCATCTCTCCCCAAGAATACATCACATTGTGCTCAGGTAACAAAGGCCTACCTTCTGTGGTGCCCCAGTGGGCACTAGCTGCCTGAAATGGAAGGAAAAAAGGATGAAGTTAAACTGTGAATCAGCCAGCCAGTTTAGCAAGCTGACCTACAGAAGCAAAAACATCCACCTTCCACATGTCATTGAGACTGCCAAGCTGTTAAGTGCTCCTTGAGGGGCCCCAAGAGCAGCTCTGGCAGAGAGATGTTTTGTGCTTGAATGCATTTTGCATAGGTTTTATTGCTACAAGTTGCCATCAGTTCAAACAGCCCTCAAAGTCTGAAATTGGTTTAGCGAGTTCTCAGTCCCACTTCCCCCCAGTAACATATCTTTCTCTAAATTTAGTCTTAAGCTTATGACCAGAATGTATCAGTGTTGTTTCATCTCATACCTTTCTAGTTACAATGAGAACGTAAAAGAAAAGAAGGGGAAAAAAAAAAAAAAATTTATCATTCTGCAACCAAATAGAGTCAACTTGCAATTCACTTTCTCATGAAATGAACTGCTTCTTACAAGGGTGAGATTTAAAACAATAAACTCACCAATAAAAATAATGCTATTAAGAAGAACTGAAGTAATGGAAAATCAGGTCTTCCTACTCCCCTTTATAAAAACATGGTATCTATGTTTCTCCTTTTCCAGTGAGTGGGAACTTCACCAGACTACCACAACTTCTCAAATACAATGGATAGTGGCTTAGCCACTTCAACCACCAGTTCCCCCAGGACCTATGGAAGTATTTCACCAGGTCCTTGTGCAACTTCAGGTTCCTTAGATGGTCTTGAACTCAATCTTCTCCTACACTGGGTGGTTTTCATCATCCCAGTCCCTGCCTTTGCCTGCTGTGGCTCAGGTGATGTGGCTGGAGCTCTGGCCAGTCCAGAAAGTCCTTGAGCACCTGGCCTTCTCCACAGCCTGGATAACCAGGTCTCCCATTTCCTTTGGAGAGGGCCTGCATTTCTCAAAAATCTTTTTAACACCAACATACCTAAAAATGCTTTTCTCATTGCCCTTGATATCCCTGACCAGACTTAATTTTGTCAGGGTTTTTGCTTCCCTGACCTGACTCCTAACTGCTCAAAGAACCTCTCTGTATTCCTACCAGGCTACTGCTTTTATTTCCACCTTCTGTAGGCTTCTTGTGTCTGAGTTTGTCCAGGGGCAATTTGTTCATCCACACAGCACCCCTGATGTTTTTGCCTGACTTAATCTCAGCTGGGATGCATCACTTCAGAGCTTGGAGGAGATGATCCTTGACTATGAACCAGCTTAGGAGAGCCTGTATCCTTCCATTACAACACTCTGGGAAGCATCCCTATGATGCTAAAAGGATCAGAACCCCCTAACTGCTGTTTATTCTCCATGCCATGTGTGTTTGCTCAGACATTTCATCTGTTCCACCCATGAAGGTGCCTTTGCTGGCTGCTGCTGCCCTCCAGGTTCTCTCCTGCTCACCTGCCATCCCTCTCCAGGCTCTGGGATCTCCTTCTGGCACCAACCTCATAGGAGTGGTCTGAGGTTCTCCTCCCCCAACAACTTCAGTTTGAAGTGCAATTCACCAGCTTGAGTAGCATAACACTCAAAGTAGAACCAATGTCAGATTTTTATCTGTCTAATCACTAATAATTTAACAGAATTTTTTTAAATTCTATGTTCATCTTTAATTCAAACACAAGAATCAGAATAATCTTTAACAAAAAGGTCTGTAAAAACATCTCCACAAAAATAAATCTAAAGAGACTTTCAACCATGTTTTCCAATAAGGGAATTGAAGTTAAGCCAACCTCAGTTTGCTTGTAGACCTCAGGATTCTGGCTGTAAATCTTTGCTATCTGGTTTCCTGTAAAACGCTGAGAAAGAAATGCAAATGCTTAGAAACACAAACCCTAAATGGAGTCAATAATCATTAACTCTGCGTAATGAGTTCAGAACATTGCACTTCGGATATTTAATTTGCCTGATGCATGATGAAAGTCAGTGCACAGCAGGCAATCTGCACTAAACAGGGTATAACACATAGTCTCATTATGAGAATTTTGTTCACCTTTTGAAAAAAAGGCATGTGGAAAAGCATTACTATCCATAATTTACATTTCAGAAATGACAGTTCAATGGAATGAATCACACTTATTCTGTGCAGAGGAACCAGCACAATTCAAATGCTGCCTTCAAATCCCTGAAAAGGTTTAAGCTACACAATCTATGTACCTGCCTGTGAGGCAGGTGAATTGAAATTAAAGCAGGAAGTTTCATACTCAAAGCAGAAACTCCAGCACAGGCTAAAAACAGCTTTAAGAGTATTTATTTTTCATCCATGTATTGTGTCAGACAATCAAAAAACCTTATAACACTGAAACCTTAACATTTAACAAGTGAAAAATAATGTTAGTGGTATGCAAAGTCTGATTTCAACATCAGCCATAATGATGATTCAGAAACAGAAACATCAGTTTGGGAGGTTGAAGCCTTATTCTGATTAATCAAGGGCTGAGGTGCCTGCAGGGCAGCCCTGCTCCCACTCCAGAACTCATTGTCACAATTGTCACAGTTACAAGGAGGGAAGACTCAGGGAGAGGAGACAAGTGACAGTGAATCTCTGACAGTGCCCCAAGCCTCTGAAACATTTCTCTTAGGTCAACAGCTGCTTGTCAGCCTCCAGGCAATATTAAAAGGCCAATCCTTTAATTGCAGGAGTAACCTAGAGCATGATTCACAAATAGGTGGAAGGATTCACCCTAAACAAAAGTGTAACACAAACTGGGTTTGCATTCCAGTAGAAATGTGGCCACACAAGATGCTGCCAGGGGACAAGCAGGCCCTGAGAATTTAAGCATGGCCACCCAACACTGCATTTGGGAGCCACTGGCCAAATGCTCCAACTGCCTCCTGCAGCAGAATTTCCAGTGTTTGGTTCATTTCACTGTGAAATTTCTGTATCTCCCTGTGTGAGACTATTGCAAAGCACAGTATGGTTGGAGTTCCTTCAGAAGCTCTGTCTTTGCTAGGTAATGGCTGATGGTTAGCTGCTGCAGCTCCCTGGGCTGACAGAATTGTTTCCAGCACAGGATTCTGCTGGGAATTCCCCCCCCCATCCATTCCTTACCTCGTAGGCCCTGGAGCCAGTGACCCTGGCCAGGTGCTGGGCTCCCCCCAGGGCTTTCTCCAGGGCTCTGCACTGGGAGGCTGTGCTGGAATCCATCCAGATGGGGCTGTCACTGACTGAAAAACAGCCCTGTAATCAACAACACCCTCTATTAGCAAGTCTGATCTCTGAATTCCCTGCTAGAGTAATGAAATACAGCAGCCATGGGTATCAGCTCACAGCTCAGCTCTCTGACGTGCCTCCTGCCTTTCTCTCAGCAATTACAGAAAGCTGATATTGGGTACCATGCTGGCCAGGGATGAAAAGTTCAACCCAAACTTGGCTTCAGAGGGAAGCAACATTCTCTTTCTGCTGTCACCTCTCACATCCTCTGGCAGCCAAAACCCCAGCCCCTTTTAGAACCCTTCCACAAACCATCAGATTATCCTCCCACAGCTCTAACAACACATTTCTCCTTAATGCATGGCACAACCACCTGGAAATACAACTGAGGCTTAATACACCATTTATTCCAGGATTTTGATGCCATTTTCATGAGTTTTGCACAGATGACAGTTACAAAACTAATGATTTAGCACATTTAACACAAAATGTCTCCCTTTCAACATATATCTGCCCTTTCTGACACCGAAGTAAGGGAAGAAGGGCCTTCCAGAGAAAAGCTGAGTCCTCCCAATTTTTCTTTTTAAATAAAAGCTTGTCAAGTCTGTGTTCAAAGCGCACCAATCACACACATAAAACGTTGAGGTCAACAAGGTACTTGGTTAGGATTTTAAGCCCACACAACATTACACTTCTATCCTTTCAGAGGCAAGTGTAAAATGGTCTTTCTTAAATAGATCTATTTTCTTATGAAATCCTGCAAGGAAACTCAGGTACAGCAGTCCTTTTTGCCACAATTTTTTGTAAATATAAATATATTAAAAACGTAAGATATTTACAGATTGTTTCCAAAAATACTACATATTCTAGAAGAACAAAGAGGCTGTTACTGTGACACAGAAAGATTCTGGGACACCCACTGGCACCTGTAAGCTTTTAAAGCGGAGCATACTGTCAATTCAGGAGAAAATGAAGTGTCAAAAGTCCTGCAACTGAAGGAATAACTACTACATTTCATTTATGCTGCAGGGGCTTGCAGCCAAAAAAGAGGAAGAAAAGCAGTGTGTAAGGATCAGAAAAAGGACAGTGCAGCCCTCCCTCCAGAGCTTTTGTGCACCTTACCTTTAGTGATTGGTGCAAAGGCTGTTCAGGTGATGCATTCTTTAAAATCTGGATGCTTCCTTTTTTCCAGTACACACTCCCATGTTGCTGTAGGAAACACAGAAACAGGAGCTGGAAATGCCCTCCCAAGCATCAAAGTCCTGATCTTACATTCTGAGGAACAAAAGAGCTCTCCCCAAACCAGGACCAAAAAGCGGCCTACTTCAAATCAAAGGCCTCACAAAAAAAAAAAAATCTCTTATTTAAGACTGAGCAAAGCAGACACTAAATCAGAATATTATTTTGAATCACAGAATTTTCTAGTGGGGATAATTAATGTATTGCTAATGGCATTCGATACTTTTTGGGGGGCTCTTTGAGCTGTAGCCAGGGCTCCACAGCCAAAATTTATTTCTGTGCTATTTCAGCAGAGCCCCCTGATCCATCAAGCCTGTCACTCTTGCTGGAGGGGGCAAAATAAAGGGAATATGGGCAGTCTGGAAATGCACATTCTTTATTCACTTGAGTAAGGTGTGGTTGCTTGGTAGTCTCCAACTCGTGCTCCACTGAAGAATTCATAACAGAGCCTTGATACCAGCTCTGATTTTCAGACACTTCGCTCAGACTTTCAACTGCAATCAATAAAACATGGAGATGAAAGCAAGGGTTTTGATTAAATAGTCCCAGATACATCAAGATGAATAACCTAAACCTCACATGTCAGAATTAGCTGTTGCTTTGGTGCTGTCCTCACCCTGAATATCATCTGTGAAAGTTGTAAAAGCCTCTCTTGATTCACTGGAGAGCTAGGAGGAGACTGGCTAACTGACTAAATGTCAGGGTGGGTTCCATAAATTAAAAAAAAAAAGGCATTATGCTCTACAGGCTAAATCATGGAACCACGTCTGTCATTTCTGCATCATTTGGGTTTTGTTGTTTCTGTGCAGATCCCTGTCCATGCCAACAAAAAATTGCTCAGTGGGATATCGCTGTGCTTTTAGCAAACTGTGCTCCTTGCTGGTTTTCCTACCCCATTTTCCACAAGCACCTGGATCTGCTGAAATACAAAATTAACAAAGAATTAAAACAACATGAAGCCAAGCAGCTCTGCACTATGCTGATCTAAACAATTACACTGCAAACCTCATCCTCCACTCCCACCATCTTCTAGTGACTGCTCTGTGTGCTTCAGGTGTCCAGCTCCCCTCAGGAATGTCTGTGGATGCTTATGTAGACGTTTAGATGTTATTTTTTACAAGTTCAGGTATTATTTTATGCCATTACAGTCTCCCGCCATATAATTGTTTAAATTTATCTTATCATCAACTTCTTACTCAATAAAAGAATCCAGTAAAACTGAACTTTTCTGTATAAACTGACCTGGCCAGCACCAGACATTGCTCTGACTTGAGAGAAGTCAAAGCCTGAAGATTTCATCTTTTCCAAGATCACATCCAGAGCCTACAACAACAAACAGAATCAAGAATGACAGTAACGAGCCATCAAATTATGCATACTCACAATCCGGAATTAAACAGTAAATTCATGTCATCACTGATAAGAGTTCATTGGCAGACAATGAAAAATTAGTTAATGACTATGGACTTTTCAAAAATCTACATAAATTAATTTATTAAGTGAGAGTCCATAAAAGAAAAGTTGAGTCACACAGGGGAAAAATAAGATCTTTAAAGAAACTAAATCACAAAGATCCACTCTTTGAATCCCAAATAAGAGGCAAAAATTAAAGAACTCCAGTTCATTAAAAAGCACTTTAAGAGTGCTAGACACAAAGCAGGATTATCTTTTCTGTTCTTACTTTTGAAAATCTATGAAATCTTAATAGGGTGCTCCCTGCACCCCATCCTACAAGATATAAGGTAACCTCAATACCAGTAATCCCAGTGTCAACAAACTCACAGTGTCTTTAACAGAAAGATAATTCAAGTGATTTTAGCACTTCAGGCACCTAGGCAAATTTTGTTCTTGACACATTTTCCTGAAGTTTAAAGCAAAAAAAAATTAATCTATCTTTAAATCACTTAATTTAGATCAGCATTTCCCAGACTCTCTTGACAAATGGAGCACTGCAAGACTTCCAAACATCATATATACCTATATCATTATATTATTAATTTAATAATCACAACAGTGCCTCTTCATTATGGTTTAAAAAACCAACTGCAAGCAAATTTACCAAACCTTGTCAGCTACTGCGGATCACCAGCTGGCAGTTCCGTGACCTTTCTAATATTTTAACTATTCAAATCCCTCTAGTTAGGCAAATTTACAGAGCACCATGCCCGTGTCACAGTTGAGATGGCCAGGACACACAGAGCATCACCACACAATTCCAGAAGGCTTTAAATTTCATACTCAACAACACCTTACCACACCAGAAGGCTTCAGATGTCTGCCCATACAGAGCAACATCCTCCCACCTCAGAAGTCTGCAGGCATCTGCCCTTCTGGTTCTTCAGCCCAACCTTTTATATTCCTGATGTTGATGCACTGCACCTGTGTGCCCTCTGCTCCCTTTGTGATTAGCACACCTGAGCTCTCCATGGCTCATTGCTGTCAATGCTGCTCACCTGCTTTTCACAGCTGTACCCATTGGGGATGAGGCTTAGCCCCACTCCCAATTACCCCAAACTGTGTGCCTTCACGTAAATATTGCAAAATCTGCACAGAAGTAAGAAACGCTTTATTTTAAGATTTTTAAAAATGCTGTACTTCAAAATAAACATCAGTCAAAGTTACTGGGAACCAGTGAATAAATTGCCTTTTCACCACTTGCCAGCTGCAACATCAATTGACAAGCAGAGCGTATTCTCAATTAAATAGTTTAAGTAATAGGGGTGCTACAAAAACACAGATTCAAGGAAGGCAAAGTGACACTGTCCCAGTTGTGTATGAGGGGGAAAAAAATAGGGGTTTTTTTCAAGTGAAGGAAAGTCAGGAAGGAATTTCTCACACGTAGAATGCTATAATAGTAGGAAGTGAAGAAATAAACAAAAAACCCAACAAAATGTTAGCAATTTCTACTATGTTTGTTGATAGCATTACTATTTGCATACCAAAGACACAGAACAACACTTCAAAGAAAGAGAATGTAAGCAAAAGGACTATTTGGATTTGAGTGATAGGTTCCACTATTGCTCACAAAAAACTTTCACAGCAAGGAAAAAGTTGATCCATATAAAGTTTGTTCATACCTTGACCCACATAAGCACTGGTGAAGTGACTGTCAGTCTGTCACTGTGGATGTAGACTCCACCTTGAGTCCTACAGAAAAACAGGATTTTCTCTTGGTAAATTCAGCAATTTTTTTTTCCCTGCCAAGTAGAGTTCTTCAAGTTTATAATGACCAAAGAGAATTTGCAATGCTTTTATGTTAAGAGCAAGGATCAGTGTTTGAAACATGAAAAAGTAAAACCCTTCTCTTAGGAGCTGACATGTTTGACACAATTGCACAATAAGTGATTTTCTAGGAAAGGCCCTGATCCTAAAGATCTGTGATAGAATCCATTGCTGATATTGCTCATTGACTACATGTGATTCATAATTATTTCTGTCACAATTAGTGACTTGAACCTCAAAGATGAAGTTCAATTCACCAAGTAAATAAGTGTGTTTTATTGAAACTTGTGACTGGAGGATGACATTTGTCAATTCTAGTCTATCATTTAAGTAAGCAAATACTGTCATCCCACATCTCAACAACTGAATTTATCTCCAAATGTCTTTTAGATGTTCCCCTCATGCAATTTACATGCTGTTCTGAGAGCATCCCACCCAGTCATGTCCACAAGCCTGAAGTTCCAAAAGAAAAAGAATGATCTATTTATATGTAATATTTTGGAGTATATTTTCTAATTTATCTCCTGTTGGGTGCTCTTGTTACATTTACATTTATTCAAGGAAGGCAAGAGCATATACTACCCTTGCAGAGTGGGAAACATGAACATGCCATGACTTTTTCTATGCCTCCATAAATATCAGTGAGACCAAAAAGGGCAACAGTTCCCCCACCCCAATCTCCAAAGCTTTAAATTACATTATCCAAGTAAAATATAAAATATAAAAAGCCTTACTTAAATTCCGGAAGGTCCTTATCAAAATGAACATTATCCTCATAAATGACCCTCAGCTGTTCATCAATAGCAATGACTTTCAACTGGAAGATATAAAACAGGAAGTTAACAAAATCTAGCAATAATTGAATAGCACTGATGGCTCATTTAAAATAATTTAATTCCCACAGACAAAATGAACAAAAAAAAAAAAAATCACCCCAATCCATACAACTCACTGAAAGTAGGGCATAATGTTACATTAAACAAGTTATGTGAATTTCCAGAATGTTACCTATTCAGCAACATGTGGGTTTGTTTGTTTGTATTTTCTTTCTCCTGTAACGCACAAGATCAGGCTACAGGCATGTGTTAAAGAATGGCAAACATGTTACCAGGCTCAGAGCTTGCATCACAGTAGCCAGTTTTTTCCAATTCCTCCAAAGAATACAGTATCTTAGATTAAAGATGTCATACACCTTCTTTTTTTGTCACCTCCTTTTTTTTGCCTTATCTTGCCAAGGAACCTCACAGACCCTTTAGACTACCTTGAACACCTTTCCTGCTCCCCAGATGGTGAGCAAATTAAATTCTGCCCATTTGGAAAAGCTCAGAGGGCATTATACAAGTGTATTTTGAGCTAATGCCACAGAAAGCAACATCCCCAACTCCACAAAGCTGAGCCTTCTTGTAAGCACGAATTAGAAGGGTACTACAGCCTTTCCTCATCTATCTTCACTTAAGTTCAGCTAGTTCTGCAGAAAGACAGTAAGAGCTGAGAAGAAAAGCAAGAAGCAGCTCACATTCTGTGCCTATTCCAACCAGGGCGAGAGTGCAAGCTGCTGCTAAAGGAACTGATTAAAAAAAGAACCTACAATTCTGTCATCTCAAGGAGCTGCATTCAAATAACAAGGCCAACCCCATTTTTACCACAGCACTGTAGAGCCATTATCCATGTCCTGGCACAACTCATTACCAACCTGCACTAGCTTAAAAATGGCTCTGACCCACTGCAGCTTAATTGGCTCTCTGCTTGCAGCATGTCCCCATAAAAACACTTGATCAACCTAACCTGGATGTGTCTTTTCAAGCTCCCAAACTTCAGCACAACCATAATGGTGATTTATGCTTGAACACCTATTTTTAACATGTTCAGGTCTCTGCACAACTTGGGCAGAGTTTCTATTCACAGGGCAGCAGTACCTGGTTGTTCTGACAAATCAGGATTTCAAGCAGAAACCTGAGCATCCAGGTTCAGTTTTGATTCACACAAAGACACTGGGAATCTGGGTTTGGGTGCAAATCCCAGCTCCTACAGCAGCAGGCAGAGGGGTCTATATGCAGCCTGCATATAAAGAATGACCACAGTTCTCCAGGATTTAACCCATCCTTAGCAGGATGGGGAAGCAAGGCACATTTAGATATATAACCCACTGCTTCAGATGGGGCAAATGGAAAGGGATGAAGGTGAAGGGGATATGAGAACAACCAGGTACATCCACTGTGTGCAGGCCACAGACATCTTAAAACACAGAAATCACTCAGAATTATTACAGCCATAAGATAAAGCACAGGAAGTTCTGCTTCGAAATGAGGAAGAACTTTGTTACACTGACTCTGGCAGAGCACTGGAACAGGATGCTCAGGGAGGACACGGAGTCTCCCTCTCTGGAGACATTTCAAACCCACCTGGACATATTCCTGCGCCCAGGTCACCCTGCCTTGGCAGGAGGTCTGAACTGGATGATCTCTAGAGGTCCCTCCCACAGACTCACAGAATGGGTCAGGTTGGAGGAACCATAGTGGATCATTCGGTCCAACCTCCCTGCTTTAGGAGGATTCTGAGTAGACATCTATTGACTGACTCCAGTAACGGAGACTCCACAACCTCTCTGGACAATCCAGCCTTAAGGATTGTGTAATTCCGTGAATAATTTGGCACCGCCCGTGTGGGGCTGCAGCGGCTGCGAGCCCGGGGCAAGGAGAACCGGGCAGGGAGAACCGGGGCAGGGAGAACCGGGCCGGGAGCACCGCCCCGCTCCGCTCCCCGCAGCCCCGGCCGGGCCCGGGAACCGCGAGCAGCCCCGCCCGGGAAACCCAACCCGCCCGGGGAAGGAGGAGAGCGGGGACGGAAGGCGCGGGGAGGGGACGGAAGCGGCGAGAGAGGGAAGGCCTGGCCGCGATCGGGCTCCGCAGCGGCGGCGGCGGCGCCATCCCCTGCTCATCCCTCCGGGGCAGCCCCGGCCCGCGTTCGGAGCCGAACCGGGCAGCGCAGCCCCGCAGCGGGAAGGGAAGGGAAGGGAAGGGAAGGGAAGGGAAGGGGAAGGGAAGGGGAAGGGAAGGGGAAGGGCAGCCCCAGCCCCGGCCCCGCCGCCGGCCGAGGGAGGGGAGACGCGGGGGAGGTGGCGCGGTACCTGCTGCGTGCTGAAATCCCAGCCCAGGTAGCAGGGAGCGGCCATGGCACGGCACGGCACTGGCCCTCAGCCGGGAGCCGGGGCAGGGAGCGGGAAGGAGGCGGCTCTGCTGGCCCGGCCTCCCTCCCGGGGCAGGAGCCGCCGGCCCGGCCCCGTCGAGCGGCGGCACCGCGGTTAATGAGTGCTCAGGGGGCAGGGAGCGGGACGAGAGCTGCATCCCTCGCTTGGAGGGGCCGGGCAGAGCTCGGGGGTGATGTGGTGGTGGATTGAGGCCATGGTAGGGTGATGCTGCCGTGGGATTGTCCCGAACACGGCCCGTTCCCCGCTGCACAGCCCCAGTTCGCACACCGGGCCGAGGTGGTGCTGTCCCTTCATTCCAGATTGAGCAAAGCAGGGAGCGGAGTGGTAACCTGCAAAAGGCTGGAGTGCCGGTCTTCAAAGCTTTACACTCTTTATACATTATAACAAAGGCGTCAGCTTTTATTGGTTACAAATTATATTACTTTTCCCGGCATTTGAGTCCCTTTTGATGGGTGGTCCGTGAGTTGATGGTCGAGATTACCTGCTGCTGCGATCACTTTTCCCCCAGTTTCTGCTCAGTTCTGCTGAACTCACTCTTGGTGGCTCTTGTCCAGCCCATTCATCTTAGGACTGTCTTCCCTGTTCCTTAAAACAACAGATTAGCCAAGCATACGGAATTCACAATGCAGCTGCTAAATCCTAACTGTCCAGCTACAGCTACTGGTGAGCAACTAAAAAAAAAAACCACCTGCAAAGTTTGACACAGACCCTTGTTCAAATCTTGAGGGGCTTGGGATCAGGATGGTGGGATGGTGGGATGATGTGATGGGGTCACACTGTGCCAGGGTGGTGCATGGGGCAGCTGAGCACGGATAACCAGCACCCTTACACAGGGAAACCCAGGGGCAGCACCCAGGCCAGTGAGAGAACACCAGAGCTGCCATGCAGGAGCCACCCAGGGTCCAGAACCAAATCAAAATCAGCAACCTCAAACCACAGTCCCAAGGAATTAATTAAATTTTAATATGTTGTTGCAATTACTACCCCACAGCCCTGTTATGGTATCACACTCTAATCAGCACAAACACACACAGCATTCCATTAAAAATCCCACTATTGTTACTTTGGCTGAATTATTGTTTTCTAGTTTGCCTTTTTTCACTTGGGAGGGTTGGGGAGGTTTTAGGGTTTTGCATTATCTGCCTGTGACAAGCAAAGTGGTATTCCTTAATCAAAAAAAGACTCATCTAAAATACACTTCCATTCTGCAATCAAGGCAGTATCTCAGCAGAGCCTTAATGAAGTCAAATAGGTTTTGCATGCCCAGGATCTTAAAATATTTTTACAGTACAAACACTTAATTTGAGATAGCTCAGTTGGTCAGAACACGGTGCTAATAATGCCAAGGTTGTGGCTTTGATCCCTGTATGGGCCATTCCCTTAAGAGTTGGACTTGATGATCCATGTGGGTCTCTTCCAACTCAGAACATTCTGTGATTCTAACTATAAAATATTACCAAATTTTGTCATAGACTGAGCATTTAAAAATATATCCAGTGATTTCTCAAAGCTTAACACGCATAGATTTATACTTACAATATTTCTATATTATTATAAAGAACAAGCTTTTGAACAATGGCCACAAGGTAGTGGTGGAATTTGCCTGCCCCTGAAGAGCTCATGCTGGATGAACCTGTCCTGAACAAAGGTCTCACTTCACCAGAGGCTGTGAAGGAAACAATATTTTTGAAATGTTACCAAGAACTGTTTCCTCGGTGTAATTTATACCAGAAAACAAAGGATCAAATAACACACAGAGGCTGGGTTTTTTATTAATGCAGAATGTGGCAGGTGAGCCAGAGAGGAGAGGTTTGCTCAGCCCTTTCATTGGCTGCACAGTCCCTGTAAACAGTGACAGATTCAAAGGCTGAGGCTGGAAGCACTGCAATATTCAAAGGATTTGAAAAAACAACAAGAAATGTAAATCTGAATGAAAGAATGATGAATACTTCTCAAAAAGAAAAATGAGTGGATTTTAATTTTTTCAAAGGAGGTATTGGCTAGTAGAAAGGGAACCAGAGTTTATAAGTAAAAAAGCAGTCTTGTGAGGATGTAAGAATCAGTTCTATTCTTCAGCAATCAGGTCAGAATAGTATCAAAAAACAAGAAATAACTTGACTTAAACAGCACAGTAAAGCTGGGACTGGAATAACCTCCCTTGTATTAACAATCTTAATTAGGAATAAGGGGCCAAGACAAGTCAGGAGGAGAATCCACTGAAAGACAAAGTGGGAATGTTGTTGTTGCTACTTTCACTGTCCATGTTTCTCAAAAGACAGTCAGGAAGTTTGTAGGATCAATGTTTCACCCAGTCATTCTGTTGCCCATCTTTTCATCAATGCAGCGTTGTCTCAAATGTATTGTTTGAGTATGGAAAATGTGCATTGCTGCTGTTCTTTCTGGACTCAAATTCATGCCATAGCCTCCAAAAATGTCTCCTGAAAGCAAAGAAGGTTTAGCTGTGCATTTATCAGTGAAGTTGCATTCATGTACTGGTGAGGTTTTAGCACTGACAAATCCAGAATTTCCAGAGGGGATGGACAAAATGCTGTTTATAATTGAAATGTCACCACTGCAGATTAACAGCTCGAGGCAAAGCACAGATTAATCACTCAAGACACGTGGAGCAGAGTAAAGGGAAAAGCAAGTTTATTCCTCTTTTCCTATTAACTAGTTTCTGACCTGATGGAGAAGCAATACTTCCATGCTTTCCTGGGCCCCTGGCTGTTCAGGTAAGTTACAACTAGGGTGCCAATTAAAGCTATTTTTTCTTACGCCACTGTCAGTTAACTGCGACTGCACATTTGTAGCAATTCATTGCAAAATACAAATTAACTGTATGCCACATTCCTACACACTGAGATTTTTCACTTTTTATTCTCAATTCCAGTATCAAAACCTGCCTCTGATCTCAGCTGTCCCCTGATATGAACTTGGATTTAAACACCCTCTTCAGCTTTGCACAGGGGAACTCCTTCGAAAACAGTGACAGCCTAAATTCCAGGCTTCATTATCACCACATCATCTGAGACATGTCAAGCTAGAGAGGAGATGGACCAGACCCTTGCTCTAAATTAGGGTGACTGTATTGACAGCAGTCCAGCTAACCTGATTTATACCAGCTACATAATTTAATGGGATGTGGAAGGACTCACACCTCCACAGGAAACACATGGGCAACTACAAAGCTAACAATCCTCCTGCTCCCAAAAGTAGATTTTGGGCACCTAACTAGTTATTTTAAGTAGCAGCCAGCCAATTGTTTCTAAGCCCCAAGCAGGTATTCCACATTGCATAGGTGAGCCCAGGAAAAGCAATGGGACAGGTAAGAGTCACTGCAAATAGAGACTTAAGTTACAAACATGCAATAAACCACAGCAGCCCGTGTCAGTACAAGCATTGTTAACTCTGCCAGCACAATTATCCTTTACCCAATAAGAAATCTTGTGGCCCTTTAATTACCCTCAGAAACACAAAGCATAGTAAGCTGGGTCAGATGCAAGCCAACCTTTTTTGCCAAGAAACCTGAGTCACGTGCACTGCTGCTAATGAGGAAGGAGATGTTTACAATGTTAAGCTCCAAGTAACACAACAGTAACACATTAACACATCACGTTTAAAAAAGAAATAGTCTCGGCCTGAGCACTGGACCTACCTGCTAGAACAATATCTGAACAATGGCAATGCCCTAAAGGTCATTCCCTTTCTATTTGGCATTGCAAGCACTCTTATCACAAAATCTCCAGCAATGTTTAACCATGTACTGAAAATATAAAATACCGCAGTACCATAAAATAAAAGATGAAGTTTCTGTTCTTTTTATTGAGATGGCATTATAACACCAATAATGTTTTTGTTTCCCTAAATATGTGCTTATCTGTTGAAGTTATTTTTGCACACGATCTTGTGGTAACCATTATGTTTGTCCATACCTCCAAAAGCAGTGGAAAGTCTTCACTCTGTAAGAATAAGAACTCAATGTTTAAATTGATTGAAGTTGCTGGTTTTATACTGGCTGTGCCATGAACAGGGGAGTGTAAGCAAGAACTTTGTTGCTGTGCTGGCTGCCCAGAGTGGCTGTGGAGTTTTGGAATGTCCCTCACTGGAGACATTCCAGGACCATCTGAACACAATTCCATGCAATGTGCCCTAGGACAACCCTTGAGCAGGGATGTTGGCCAGGATAACCCACTGTGCTCTCTTCCAACCTGGCCCACTCTGTGGTTCCATAAAAGCACAATCAAAGATCCAGTGAAATCCCTGTAAATGAATTCCACAAGAGGAAGCCCAAAGCACAGTTGTTGTATAGAGACTAAAAATGTTGATTATTTAAGTATAGTAATTACTCCACAAACTTACCGGCTGAGTGAATTTTTTGACATGTGCATATTCAATATGCCAGGTGTGGTACTGCATTAACCAGTTAAGGCCCTTTACAGAGAACTCATGAGGAATTGGTGCAGGATTCCATATAAAAATACACACAAGCACACAAAAAATGGGTACAAGAAAAGAGTTTAAATGATGGCTCAATACACAATCTCTACTATACCATCAGGTTCATGGGTATTGGTCAGTTTGCAGCTTTTATTTGATCATGAGCATACAATCCTCCAACTGCACTTCTATTGAATTGATCAGAAGATGTTTTGACTTCAGTGGGTACTGAATCAGGCACTGTGGAATTGTATCTGGTTTTACATACTCTAGTTTATATACTGTAGTTTATATACTCTAGTTTTACAGTTGTAATTTTCTTGACTCACTTAGGCTATCAGTGATTATGAAGTGCAGCACAAAGCCCTCATGAGATTTTTGCATGGAAGTGAAGGATGCTTCTGAATAACAAGTTATTTTTAGGACACTTTCCTCCTCTGCACAGGCTTCAAGTCCCCATTCATTCTCACAATAGTAACAGTACTTAACCATCCTCTTTGGAGGACTATCCTAACTACAGCCATTTGCAAGGCTTATTAAAGTTAACTTATGCACCCAGCAGAGTTTCTTGAAGATGAATACCAAAGTGGTTTGTGTTCTAGTGCTCAAAAGCAAATACATCAGAAGCAAGATGGTGTCATCCAGAA